GAATTACGAAGGTTACGCAGGAATTTCAAAACATTTATGCTTAAAAAGACAGAGTTGTATTTGCATTAGGATTTGAAAGAAAATTTTTGAATGAGGTGTTATGGTAGAGAAACCAAAATATGTCTTTTTAAAATTTTGCTACAGGGCACGTACACTCACTAGGCAGAGACAGAGAGGGAAAGTGAGAGCACCCGCCCAGAGGGGATGGCTACACTGCCATCCCTCCTCTACCTGCTCCTCTCGAGATTTTGGGCATGCCAGCACATGTACCTGGTGTTTTCTTTTCTTTTCTTTTTTTAAATAATTGTTTAATTTTATTTATTCATTCATTTATTTTAATTTGATCAGAGAGAGAAAGTGAGAAAGCAAGCCACCAGGTCCAGGATTCGAACTGTGGTCATGGGAGTGTCCAGCGCCTTGACCACCATGTCACCTGTTGGTCCCTATGCCTGGTGTGTTTTCAAGCCACCAGGTCCAGGACTCAAACTGCACAGTCAGCCACAGGGGATCCAGTCACCTTAACCACCATATCACCAATGGCCCCAAAATATACATGTTTTAATTTTTATGGTTGATAAGAAACATTTCCATTTAGGGTGAATTTGAGAGAAAGCCGGACATCAGAATTATCCAACTTAATCTGGAACACCAGGAGTTTGAGGTCTTCATTTTAAAATGAAACAGTACACTTCGTTAGAAGACAGTTTCTCTACGTGATGGTCCTTTTCCAGTTAAGGAGCTTCTATCTGCAAAGCAAGCCCAGGTCTCTCTGAGCGCTGATGGAGGTGGACAATCAGATCACCTTTGTCCGCTGGTCTGACGCCAGTGCTGTGTAACCCTCGTAACGGCTGGGAAAGCTAAGGCACTAATCCCGTCCTCTCCCCTCTAACACTTTGCAGAAAGCCTCGGATGAGTCGGCGTCCCTTGACAGCTGGGTTGCTGTGTGAGCAGCCAGGCTGCTGGCGGAAGCACAGAAGTCAGAGGGACTCCCCCTTCATGCGTGTCTACAATGTCACAGGCCGAGGCAGCGGCCTTTAGAATCTTCGCAAAATTCAACACCAAGAGGTCAAGAAGACCTCACAGTATCTTTAAGTAAGTAAATCCAGATGTACGCATTTCCCTGGGCCTTCGTGATCATTTTCTGTTTGCTTGTTTTCTGAGTTTTATTTTTACTAACAATAAATTGATTTTTTTTTTCTTTGCATTGAATCCCTGGGGATCTTGCCTGTCAATAACCCCCAAAACTACTCTGTACATCAAAGTGGCTCGTAACACTTGTGGAATGAGATGAGAGAAACTATTACTCTGGCCTACAGTTCAAAGATAAGGTTAGCAAGCTGGGTTCCAGATGGTCAGCCTCGTTCTCACACAGCGGTCTAGTGAAGGGGGAGATAAGCAAAGCTAATACCTGAGCCCCGCAGGACCCCGTCTGCTGTTCAGGGCTGTTTGAAGCAGAGGTCTAATTAGTAGCAGAGCTCAAAGTACTCAGAGGCTCCCCTGCCCACAGAGAATTTCAGAACTTGCTGGCAAATTGGGCCTGGCTATCCAGCTCCTCCACTTGCGAGGAGCTGGCTGTGCCTGGCCAGTTGAGTGTCAAGGTGCGCCTGGTCCTAGTCAGTCCAGTGCACAACCTCGCCACAGAGAAGGCAGTGAAAGCATCCTTAGGCTCCCCGACAGTGCTCTCGCTGGTCTGGACCAGCCTGCACTCTCGAACAGACTAAGTCACAGAGCCAATCTGCATGCCCTCTAAGCAGGAGGCAGCTACGTGACTCCTCTCCTACAGCCTCAGTTACCTAGGGCTGGTGGTTGAGATCATCCCTTACTGCTAGGATACCTGCACCAGCAGCGGACCTCATTGAAGCTTCCCAGTCATCCTACTCAAAGGGATTTTTGATACACTGCCACAACCCCCCCCCCCGATGAAGGACTTGGACAAGACTCCTACTGGTCAGGGAAGATGTCCCTGTTGGTATCATCGGGAGACTTTGAGTCCCGACCATACTTCCCAGACCTGCGGAATTCCAAGCAGCCGGGTCTCTGCCCAGCCACAACCTTAGTAGAGCACTAGCTTCCCTGACTGCGCTCAGTAGCCTCTCTGAGCCTTCTTCATTCTTCAGGATGTTAAGAGCAAAGCCTTCTTGGGAACCAGCAGTTAGCATAATGGCTATGTCGTTGGACTCCCATGTAGTTGGCCGCGGTTCACGTCCCGGACCCAGTGGCTTAAAACTCACGCCAGGCACGTGTATGTGCGTGCCCAAGATCCCGAGAGGAGAATGGAGGAGAAGGGATTGCGGCGTGACCATTCCCCCTGGGGAGTGATTTCTCGCTTTCTGTCTCTATGTCTCTGTCTGTCTGTCTGGTGAGCGCACGCGCCCTATAGCGAAAAAAACCTCTCCTAAATAAATAAATAAATAAATAAATAAAGAGCAAAGCCCTCTTCATGCCCCTCATTGATAGCAGCTTCCCCATAGTTCTCCTTAATAATACTCTCCAGGTTAGGAAAAACCTCCAATGCACAGGAAGCTTTCCTGAAGTTCGCTGCAGCAGCAGTGAGGGTCAGAGACTTTTGCACGGTCACCTGGTTGCCAGTGTGAGAACCACCATCAATTACATACACGCAACAAGCAAGGTGACTTCAAAAGAGCCTACTCAGTCAGCACTGGGACAAGGGAGTCCCCTTCTCAGGAGCTCCAGCTTTGCCAACAGCACAAACATCTCAGTGTGCCACATGGACAAAACTGGGATTCTCTCAGGGTCACCCATCTCATCATCAGTTTGTCAAAGTTCAGTCTCTTGCTACTCTGGCAGGCCCACTGGTTTATGGTTTTATTGATGTCCTCAACAGCCGTTTAAAAAAAAAGAACTCCAAGTATTTTGGTTTTTGCTTTATTTCTTATACGAATAAAAGACAGAAAAAAAAATTAAAAAGAGACAAAAAAATAAAATCCCCAATGGGGTCCCATCATCACAGTGTCCCTGATCAGCCAGCCCTGACTGGGCACACGTGGTCGGCACACTCAGGGAGGTCTCTCCCACGGGAGTCAGCTTCACAGAACATCACATCTTACCACTGCGCCCCTGTCGGTCCCCTACTGGGGACCTCTGAGTCACCTTTACTTACACATCAACTTTGACCATTGTCCCAGAGCCCTCAGGCCTCAGAGTTGCCAACTGAGGCACCGCTGAGCACGGCCAGTCCCAAGAACCTTTGGAAAGCAAGGCACCTACCTCAACAGGGAGCCCCACTAATTAGCAGTCCAACCACAAGCCCTCTCCTACACGGGTCTCCGTTTATAATTCCAATAATGCTGGAGGGTAGAGCTGTCATCTTCATTTCACATACCAAACAATTAAGAGTAAACAGTGGCAGAGCTAAGAAGTAAACTCGCATTTCCTAACTCCAGTCCTTTTAGCAAATATAAAGTCTGGCCAGATTCTTGGCTGAATACTGGGTATGTCGAGAAGAATCCACTTAATTTCTCAAGGAGATAATGCTTTGGTTGATAACGGGTATGAAAACAAATTACACAGTAAAAGTTGTAAGTGCTACAGAAGGAGTACCGAGCACGGGAACACAAAGAGGTGGTCACAGCTCGCACATAGCAGACACGTGACCAATCCTTCAGTCAATATTTACTGAGCAACTGCTATGTGCTAGGCACCATTCTGGATGCTGGGGATACAGCAATGAAGAAGACACATAAAACTCCTGCCCTAACATTCCAGAGCTTATATCCTCTGTGCAGATGGCTGGAATAGACAGGTATATCCAAAGGGAAAGCATGAAATTCTTCATAGAGTAGATGGTGCTTGAACTGATTCTTAAAAGTTGGAAGACAAAGGACCAGCAGATGGCATGGTAGTTAAGGTGTTGGACTCTTACATGGCCAATCATGGTTCAAGTCCCAGAACTGCGGGCTTGAAAATCACATGGGACACGTGTGCATGTGCAAGATCCCAGGAGGAGAATGGAGGAGAAAGGAACGTGGTGTGGTCATCCCCCTGGGGGGCGGGGGGGGATTTTTCATTTTCCCTCTCTCACTGTCCCTCTCTGTCTCCCTCTGTCTCTTTCCAACAAGTGCACACACCCTATGATAAAAACCTAAAAAAAAAAAAAAAATTAGAAAACAAGATGTTGGACAAGGGAAAAAAAAGGAAATCCAGGAAAGCCCTTCAGTGAGAAGAGCACAAGAAAATCATGAGGGTGTTCATAGAATGGGGCCCTTTGGGGATCTTCGGGTATTGGGTTGTTGGAAAAGTTATGATGTGTTTTCGTATAGGAAAACAGAAAAAATATGTCATGACTTTTCCAATAATCAAGTTGGTCCCTTTGGCTAAAGTGTTGGGGCAGGCAAGAGAAGACTGTGGGGACAAAGAGAGGGGTTGTAGATGCGGATCTGTCTGAAAAGTCACAGGGAGTCAAAGAAAGGCTTTAAGGGAGGTTCATAACAGAGACACTGTAATTAAGCAGAAGTACAATGAAGGGTTTACTATGGGGGAAATTCTTCTCTTAAAGTAAGTTGTTTAGTAATCCTACTCCTGGCAAAAGCTCTCAGGAGTTTGCATGGTTAAGAGGCAGTATGGTCTAAGAGGAAAGAGCTTGGGGTTGGAAATCCAAGAAGCTAAGTTCAAATCCCAGCTTGGGCACACTTGCGTGACCTTGAATGAGTTACTGTACTTCTTTGAGTCTCCGATTTTCATCAAAACAGATGTGATGACAGGTAAGGTGGGGGGGGAGGGGCAGCAGGTGGCATGGGGTGTAGCAATAATACAACTGGACCCACATGAGAAAGGCCCTAGGTTCATGAACAAGAACCTCCCTGAGCATGCTGGCACACATGTGGGCCCATGATCTGGGCTGGCAAAGAACAGGGGTGGATGGTGGTGTAAAGACTATGTTAGGGGTGACTATTTCTGTCTTTCTCTTTATCTCTTTCTGTATGCTTTTCTCATAAAAGACAGAAGTAAACTTTAAAAAGATAAGTAAAAAAAAAAAAAAAAAGGTGTGTTCTCACCTGAAAGCTGTTAGAAGAATTAGGGATACTCTGTAAAGGGTGTGACATCTCCCAGAAGTCCCCATGTGGTCGTTTTTAGCCATTGTAGGTTAAAGAAATCCCTAGATCTCTAAGGCTACCATGATGGAAAATAATACCGGCCTCTAAGGAGTCACCTCTTGGTCCTCCGGACAGACACCACACACTGAGCTACAGAGACTGAGCCTCCTAAAACACAAGTCTCAGGTCCTTCTACAACTAACCTTAATGGTGCCCTTGGGCAGGGAAGAGTCTGTGTTTTGTGGTTCTAACAATAGTTTAGAAGAGTCACCCAGAGGGACCAGCAGATGACATAATGGTTACATAACTGGACTCCCACGCAGTGGACCATGTTTCAAGTTCCAGACCTGGTGGCTTAAAACTCATACTGGGTGTGTATGTGTGTGTGCCCAAAATCCCAAGAGAAGAATGGAGGAGAAAGGATGGTGGCACGGCCATCCCCCTGGGGGCAGGGGGTTTTCTTACTTTGTGTCTCTCTGTCTCTCCAGCAAGAGCACATGCCCTTTAGCAAAAATCTCTCTAAAAAAAAGTCACCCAGAAATTTCCTCCCAGACAGGAAGTTTAGCAATCGGGGACCAGCAGTCTATGTAATGGCTGTCGCTGGACTCCCATGTAGTCGACCGCAGTTCGAGTCCCAGACCTGGTAGCTTAAACTCATGCCAAGTGCGTGTGTGTGCGTGCCCAAGATCCCAAGAGGAGAATGGAGGAGAAGGGATTGCGGCGTGGCCATCTCCCCAGGGGATGATTTCTCGCTTTCTGTCTCTGTCTCTCTCTTTCTGTTGAGCGCACGCGCCCTATAGCAAAAACCTCTCAAGGAAAAAAAAAAAAATCAATCATCTCCTGATTAGCCCAGCAAGCCCTGACTTTTGCATTGTTTTATGATCACAATCAGCCAGCCCTGATCATGGGTGCGTGTGCTCGGCACACTCAGGGAGGTCTCTGAATGAGAATGGATTTCTCATGTGAGTCAACTTCACAGACCATCACATCTTAACATTGCGCCACTGTCGCCACTGCTTAACATCGCCCCAAACTTACATCCCTTTTTACAAGGCTTAAAGAAACAGCAGCCATTATCTTTAAATAAAACCAACTCATAAAGATCAACTGCTAATATTCATTCTTGAATAAGCCACACTAAGCTGACTATCACCCACCAATATGTCACCCAATTGGGTATTTGTTTTGTTTTGTTTTGTTTTGTTTTGTTTGTAGCTCACCTATTCATTCCAGGAGTGAAAAAGTCAGAGAGAGAGATAACACCCCAGCAGCCTGGATGACAGGCACACGTGTCCCCCGCACCCTCTGGGAGTCCCAGATGTGAACTGGTCACCTCCCACTCAGGTCTGCCTTGCAGAGCTTGCGTTTTACTGCTCCACCTCCATCCGGCCCCACTCAGGCATGCTTTGAATCATGACGCAACAAAACAATTTACCAGCTCAGGGGATTTTTTGGAGCTCTTAGACCAAAGATCAAGCAACTACAGAGAGTCCTAACTGGTACTCCCACAAAAGGGAAGGAAAATTGTGTTTCCCCAAAATAGGATTAACATTCAACACTAACAAGAGATCCAACTTGTTAACATATAAACGTCAATTTGTGATTACTGTGGGCGTGAGCAGAAGACGACGCATGCAGAATGTGCACTCACATTTAAGTACAGTGAATGTGTATGCTGTGGTGTGGCCCCTTTCCCACCTCCACCCCTCACATTCTCTCCCTTCTTCTTCCCCTCCCCTACCCACATACCTCCTTGGAGCACCAGGCACATTTTGGGTGGATTAGCAGACATTCTTCACATGAGGTGGCACTTCCACTAGTGCATATGTTGAGACCTTCAAAGTGAAATACAGGTGTACTAGTTAGTTCCTGCTATAAAACGTGTTAACGAGTCTTTGAATGGGTATAGGGAGAATTCCTTCCCTCTTGAACTGGGTGTCTCTCTGAGGGTGAAGGGTGCAGGCCCCAAAGCTATTGCAGGGTAAGGCTCATGTGGGAAAGTTATTCACACTGGGTTTTTGAAGGATCCATCAAGCATGCACACTGGTGGTAGCAACCCCTTCTCTCCTGCTGGGCCCAGTTGGACTCCCATTTCCTTCCCCCATAACTCAGCAAATCTCATTGCCCCTTCACATGACAAGTATCACTTGTCATATGTTTTGTACAAAAATAGTACAAAAGGAAAGAAAAAAGAACAGATTGGTTTCATTAAGGCAATAAAAAAAAAGTCGAGTATCAGGTACTATCACATCAAAATCCATACTGTACAGGGGACCAGCAGTTAATGTAATGGCTATGTCAGTGGATTCCCATGTAGTCAACCACGGTTCAAGTCCTGGACCTGGTGGCTTAGACTCACACCGGGCATGTGTGCATGTGTGCCCAAGAAGAGAATGGAGGAGAAGGGATCGCGGCATGGTTGCCCCCCTGGGGGGTGATTTCTCACTTTCTGTCTCTCTGTCTTTCTGGTGAACGCATGCACCCTATATCAAAAACCTCTCCAATAAAAAGAAAATCCATACTATACAGGAAAAAAGCATAAAGAAGAACGTATCCCAGGAACACAATATTGGGTTAAGATAAAAGAAACTCATTATTCACTCTATTAATAGGCCAAATAAGAAAATCCATACTATTGTCATAGTAGGCAGTGAAAGGCTTTTTTTTTTCTTTCTTTCTTTCTTTCTTTTTTTTTTTTTTTTTTTGAGAGGTTTTCGCTAGAGGGCGCATGCATTCCCCAGACAGAGAGAGACAGAGAGAGACAGAGAGACAGAAAGCGAGAAATCACCCCCCCAGGGGGGATGGCCACGCCGCAATCCCTTCTCCTCCATTCTCCTCTTGGGATCTTGGGCAGGCATGCACACGCACCCGGCATGAGTTTAAGCCGCCGGGTCCAGGACTCGAACTGCTGTCGACCATGTGGGAGTTCAGCGACATAGCCATTATGCTAACTGCTGGTCTCTGAAAGGTTTTTGATAAAATTCAAAACCCATCTCACATAAAAAAAAAAAAAATCAGAAACTAGGGGCCAGCAGATAGCATAGTGGTTACATCACTGGACTCCCACATAGCCAACTGCAGTTTGAGTCCTGTACCCTGTGGCTTCAAATTCATGCCAGGCGCATGTGCATGTGTACTCAGGATCCTGGGAGGAGAAGGGATTGTGGTGTGGTCATCCCCCCAGGAGGTGATTTCTCATTTTCCCTCTCACTGTCTCTCTGTGTGTCTCTTTCTCTCTCTGGTGAGCTCACATGACCTAAGGAAAAAACCTCTTTAAAAAAATCCAAAACTGGGAACCAGCAGTTAACGTAATGGCTATGTCTCTGGACTCCCACATAGTCGACCACAGTTTGCGTCCCGGACCCAGTGGCTTAAAACTCATGCCGGGCGCGTGTGCGTGCGTGCCCAAGATTCTGAGAGGAGAATGGAGGAGAAGGGATTGCGGCGTGACCATCACCCCTGGGGGGTGATTTCTCACTTTCTGTCTCTATGTCTCTCTCTGTCTGTCTGGCGAGCGCACACGCCCTAAGGTAAAAACCTCTCAAAAAAAAAAAAAAATCCAAAACTAAGATTAAAAGGAAAGTACTTTTCATCATAAATCTCAAACCCAGGCCAATCCTCCTCCTCCCACACCGTTAATCTGGGGAGAGATCTCCCAAAAAAGGTTCAAGCATGTCAGGGAGATTAAGTCCTTCTGCCCTCTCAACTTCTCCCACTCCACCTCCCCTACTCACCCACCCGCCCCACCAACAGCACAGGTGAAATTTATCATCCTTCTTTTCCTTCCTGTCTGAAACGTCCAGGAGAGATTACTTTGGACCAAGAGCAGACTGTGTCAATCATTCATCCAAATGAAAAGTATTCTAATCAGTCCTCACAGCACTAAAGACCCACCCCTCTCTCCTAGTCATTGCTTAAATGTACAGTGAGGAGGAGAAGGCACATTGAACGGGTGGAAAACCAGGGCCACCAGCCCTAGGGAGAGGGTTCAGATCTTAAGGAGGAAAATGAGTGAAAAAGATTGGAGGGGGGGGAAATACAGGAATGGAAAATTGTTCCCTAGTTCCCCTCAATGCTATATACTTTTACTTCACACCATATACAAAAATCAACTCGATACAAATTAAAGATTTAAGACCTGAAACTATGAAACTGCCAAGAGAAAAAAAGGAAAAAGCATCTTGGCATTGGTCTGGACAATAAACTTTATGGCAATTACCCCAACAGCATAGACATCAAAAACAAAAACAGGCAATAGAATGTATCAAACTAAGAAGCTTTTGTTCAGTAAAGGAAATAATCAACAAAATTAAGAGACAACCTATGGTATACAAGAAAATATTTATAACCCATACATCTGCTAAGGGGTTAATATCCAAATACAAGACAAGTTCAAACAACTCAATAGTAAGAAAACAAATAACTTAATAATAATAAACTAAATAGACACTTCTCAAAAAAAGACGTACAAATGGCCAAGAAGTACATAAAAAATGTTCCACCCTGCTCATCACTGAGAAAATGTACATTAAAACCACAATGAGCTATCTATCACTTTACACCTGTTAGAATGGCTATCAATAAAGACAAAAGAGGGAGCAGCAGTTAGCGTAATGGCTATGTCGCTTGTCTCCCATCTAGTCGACCGGGGTTGGCATCCCGGATCCGGTGGCTTAAAACTCACGCCGGGCACGTGTGCGTGCGTGCCCAAGATCCCGAGAGGAGAACAGAGGAGAAGGAATTGCGGCGTGGCCATCCACCCTGGGAGGTGATTTCTCGCTTTCTGTCTCTCTGTCTGTCTGGTGAGCATGTGGTGGCAGCACACGTGTCCTATAAAAAAAAAAAAAAAAAAAAAAAAAAAAAAAAAAAAAGCCTCTCAAAAAAATAAAAATAAAATAAAGACAAAAGATAACAACTAGTGGTGACTGTAAGAGAAAAGGAAATCTTTGTACACTGTCGGGAATATAAATTAGCACAGCAATTATGGAAAACCATATGAAGAATCCTCAAAAAATTAAAAATAATGGGACCAGCAGTTAGCATAATGGCTATGTCGCTGGATTCCCATGTAGTCAACCATGGGTCGTGTCCTGGGCCCAGGGGCTTAAAATTCATGCTGGGTGCGCATGCATGCGTGCCCAAGATCCTGAGAGGAGAATGGAGGAGAAGGGATTAGAAAGGATTGCGGAGTGGCAATCCCCCCTGCAGGGTGATTTCTCACTTTCTGTCTCTCTGGCAAGCGCATGTGCCCTATGGCAAAAACCTCTCCAAAAGAAAAAAATAAATAAAAATAAAATTACCATAATATCCAATTATCATTCTTCTGGACATATACACAAAGGAAATGAAATCAGTATGTTAAAGAGATATCTGTATTCCCATGTTCATTGCAGCATTATCTGCAACAGCCTAGATATGGAATCAACCTAAGTGCCCACAGATGGATGAATGGATAAAGAAAATGTGATATTGGGCCAGCAAGTGGTATGGAGGTTAAGGATGCTGGACTCCACATGGCCAGCAACATGTTCAAGACCCAGACCTGGTAGTTTGAAAAAACTCTGGGCATGTGTGCATGCATGCCCAAAAATTCTGAGATGAGAAAAGGAAGAGAAGGGATTGTAGCATGGCTATTCCTCTTGGGGGAAGGGGCGTGATTTTTCATTCCCTCTCTCCATCTGTCTCTGGCAAGTGCATGTACCCTACAACAACAACAAAAAACTTTTTAAAAAATGTGGTATACAGGGAACCAGCAGTTAGCGTAATGGCTATGTCGCTGGACTCCCATGTAGTCGACCGCGGTTCACACGCACGTACATGCACCTGACCTGCTTCTCACACATGGGGCGCATGTGCGTGCATGCCCAAGATCCCGAGAGGAGAATGGAGGAGAAGGGATTGCGGCATGACCAGCCCCTCTGGGGGGTGATTTCTCGCTTTCTGTCTCTATGTCTCTCTCTGTCTGTCTGGCGAGCGCATGCACCCTATAGCGGAAAAAAAAAAAACCTCTAAAAAAAATGTGGTATACACACATAATGGAATATTATTTGGCCTTGAAAAAGAAGGAGAATTACCCCTGTGGCTGGGTGGTTGAGGAAGCCTGATCTCACATGGCCAATTGCTTAGTTCAAATCCCAGCCCCAGTGGCTTGAGGAACATTCTGGGTGCACATGAGCATATCCAAAGTCCCGACAGGATGAAGAAATGGAGGAGAAGGGATAGCAGAATGACCACGCACCACTGGGGTGTGTTTTCTCTCTCTGTCTCTCTGATGAGCTCACATGCCCTCTGGCAAATTAAAAATAAAACAAAAACACAACCCAGGCTTGGTTGTTAAGGCAGCTGGATCACACATGCAGCTGCACAGTTTGAGTCCTAGACCTGGTGGCTTGAGAAGCAGGTCAGGTGCATGTACGTGTGTGCCCACAATCCCAAAAGAAGGGAGAAATGGAGGAGAAGGGATTGCAGCATGACCATGCCCCATGGGGGAAAGGGATACTTTCTCACTTTCCCTCTCTATGTCTCTGTCTCTCCAGAGAATGCACACACCCTCTAGCAATTTTTTTAAAAGAAGGAAATTATGTCATTTGCAGCAACATGGATGAATCTGGAGGACATTATGCTAAATAAAATAAGGCAGACACAGGAAGACAGACATTGTATAACCTAGCATGTGCAACCTAAGAGTCAAACTCATACAAGCAGGGAGTAGAAGAGTGGTCGCCAAGGGCAGGTAGGTATGAGGGGTGGGGAGTGGGGAGACATGGGTCAAAGGGTACAGTTTTAGTTAGACAGGAAGGATAAATTATGAAGATCTATTGTACAGAAGGGTGAA